GTTGCGTTTCAGAGTATGCTCTTGTCATCAGTGCGATCTTCCCCTTAAATATTTGTGTGCTTGTGAATTCAGTGTTGTCATGCTGCGTGGCATGTGTGTGAATGGGGAATCTCTCTTTAGCAAGGCTTTGAGAATGGCAGAGGCAAGACAATCAATCATGCACCATGTTTCCTTTGCTGTGCGCTGTCTGGGAGCCCCTGAAAACAGAACATCACCCTCTCATTTGTGTAGCTTCACCCTAGGTTTGGTCTCTAGGTCATTCAAGTCTGTGATGGAACACGGGCAGGAGACATGTGTAGTAGGATTTGCAATAAAATGTTGCAGCACAGGGTGCTTTTGTTTGCAGATGGTCAGTAACACCATCCTTCAGAATACTGGACTCCATTCTCTGCCCTTGGATCCATTTATCCCCCACTGCAGCAGCACTTCTGTGAGCATGTTCGGTCCTCAGTGGACTGTGTTTGGTGTCCCCCCTTAAGATTTTTTTGTCCTTCTGCAAACTTAAGAACATAAGAGCAGCCCGGCTGGATCAGACGAAAGGTCCATCTGTATCCAGTGGCACGCCAGCTGCCCCCAGGATTGCTCGAGCAGGACGGGTGCAAGACCTCTGCCTGCCTAAGTTCCTCAGCAACTGGTGTGTACAGCAACACTGCCTCTGATACCGGCCTGCCAGTGTGCTCATGGAAGTTCCCAGATTGAAAAAAATGGCTTACAAGTTAATAAAATCAGCCTAAGAGGTAGGGGAGAAGAAAATTCACTGAGCATTGCCAGTTCTGGAGGGGAGGTGCTAAATTTCAGCAGTTCCCAGCCTGTTGAATGAAGATAGGATTTGCTGATGAAATTCTGGAACGCACGGTCACATGCAGTCAGTGGGCACTGTTCCCGTCCACAGAGGCTGTAAGTTCTGAGAGGGTTGTGGAGAGGTCTTTTCTCCCTATGACTTAAAGCATAGGGTCTGTTCCTCGGACATTCTCATGGTGCTTGTGTGGCTTGCTTTATTGTATGTATTGTTGAAATCATTTCTAAAATGTGTACCCTCCATCCTAGAACTTGAGAGAGTTGCAAAGGGATCCTGGTGGCTAATATTTCTTCCTTTTCTTCTCTTCTTTTAAAGAGCCCTTTTAAAACGCTGGGGTTGTTGGAGTGGCCACATTTTTCCTGGAATTGAGTGGGAAATTCAGAAGACTGAAGCCCAGGCTCACTGTCTACCTTTCACGGAGGCCCAGCCGTGAGAGGACAGAAGAAGGCACCTGGCGAATCATGACAGCAGACAAAGAAAAGGACAAAGAGAAAGAGAAAGATCGGGACAGGGACCGGGACCGGGAGCGGGACAAGCGAGAGAAGGTGAGAGAGAGCGAGAACTCGCGTCCTCGTCGGAGCTGCACGCTGGAAGGTGGGGCCAAGAACTACGCAGAGAGCGACCACAGTGAAGATGAGGACAATGACAACAACAGTGCCACCACCGAGGAGTCCACGAAGAAGAACAAGAAGAAGCCCCCCAAGAAGAAGTCTCGCTATGAGAGGACGGACAATGGAGAAATCACCTCTTTCATCACCGAGGATGATGTTATCTACAGACCTGGAGGTAAGAGGGACTTGAAGTTCTCAGTTGCTGGGGTTGGTGTGTGTGTGTGTGTGTGTCTTTTCTTTTCTTTTCTTTTCTTTTCTTTTCTTTTCTTTTCTTTTCTTTTCTGGAGGAGGGTCTGTGGGGGAAATTGTGATAGGTGTGAATCGTTGATTGTTTTCTTAGCCGCAGCAGTAATTTTGATCTCTACTTACTCTGTTTCAGCCTCATGTACTAGAACGTTGCTGCGTTTCACATGGCACTCTCTGTGTGTTGGCGTCTCAAGAGGCTATTTAAAAATGGGTAGGAGGTAGACTAAGGAAATGGAGGCAGGGTTAATAAGGAAGGAGCCTGATACTCTTTGCTTAAGCCTTCGGTAGGGTGCACAGACGGCAGGGTGGTTTTAAAGCAGGGTTGGGCAGCTTTTGACCCTCGAGATACTTTGCTCTGCAGCCCCAATGTTTTGCCTCAGGCTAGGACTGATGGGAATTGTAGGCCAAAACACCCGGTGGGCCACAGCTCGTCCACCCTGATAAAAAGGCTTCCTGGAAAAGGCATGTTTTGATGAAGGACCTCAGGGAATGGAGAGCGGTGATCTGAATGGCAGGAGGCTTTGGCGGGGGCAGAGAGACCTCCGGGGGGTTGCTGGAAATGGATGAAGAAAGTTCATAGGTGGGGATCTCTCAGCATATGGGGACCTTTCAGTGGAGGCATGAGATGAGGCAGGGCTGTGCAGGTTTTGAAGGTGAAGGCAGGACTCTTGTGCCGAATCCACAAGCATTTATGGCTTTCTACACAGTTTATTCATCCCAAATTGTTGTGTTTTTATAGGATAAAGTACAAGGGCAGCTTGCATGAACTTACATTGTACCCACAGTCTTATGAACCAAGTAACTGACCGTTTGGTTCCCTATCATTGTAGCCCAAATTTGCCGCCTTGAGATGCCCCCCTCACTCAGCTAGAGGCTACCCCAATTCCATCTCTACTTGATTTTGTTTTCACCAAGATCCATGTATTTTGTTCCTGATTTTCTTATCAAAAGAGCAGGCTTGCAAGTGCAGCCACAGTTGTCCGCTTCACTGTGAAGTCATTGGCATGCTATGGGAGTGCTGTGAAAAGGAAGACTGATGTGCTTTTCAAAAGAAGAGGGCGGAAACACCCATGGGCATAAATCACCAGAAACAATTTTTCTAATGTGTTGTGTTGTTAGAATATTTAAAGCTCTGGGTGTGCCTGGAGATGCAGACAAATCTCAAAGCTTTTAAACTGGGAATACAGAACTTTATTTTGAGGCAGCCTGGTTTTTTTTGAGGGGGCAACAGGGAAAGCTTTCTCTTAGGGCAAGTGCCGATGCAGTAGGTAGATCTCCCAATAATGGTTAAGGTTTCAGAGTGGGTTGTAAGAGTACCTTCTCCTCAGGGCAAATTCTTTTCCAATTTGCAGTCAGTACAGAATTGCAAATATGTGCAGAAAAGTTATAATCCCATTGAAATGTCGGCAGTCCTTTAGACACCCTGCTCCTCCATAATTTGCCATTTTTGCACTTAAATGATTCTGCAGGCATCCATTAGAAGTGGGGCCTTATTAGTGGCACCGGCTTTGTGAAACTTCCTCCTTGTAGAAGTTTGCAGGACTCCAACGTTGTGTTCTTAGTTGTTTGCTTGAGACTTGGCTATTTCAGGGAGGTTTAGGCTGAGGTGACCAAATTTTGCTGATATTTAATGATCATGATATTTGTGTAGCTGGCTGCTGTATGATGTTATTTGAAATAGCTATAGAAATATACGTGTGTATGTATATATCCTTTTTTCCTGTGCTTGAAATTGGGCACTTCAATTTTTTATTCTTTTTCATTTAGGCCATTTTGTATTAAAGTTGATTTTAAAAAGCAGAATATATAAAATTACAAATTAAGAATGAAAACCCTAATATTCCCCTGCTTGCAAAAAATTTAGTTGCCTCAGTTAACTAGTGGTGGTTTACAAGCTTATGTTAACATCTTCACTGATTTTAGTCATGTTTAATATGAACAACGTTCCCTGATTAACCCCAATGTGCAGTCATACCTAATTTTAGGCTCTTGTACCCTTGATAAATGTTAGCAGAATGTGAGAACTGATCTTTTTGATGGAGATTGTGCTCGAAGGGACATCCTGACCTGAGGGGGAGAGACTGTAGCTCAGCGGTCTGGCACCAGCTTTGCCTACAGAACATTCCGGATATGATCGCTGGCATTTCCAGATACGGTTTGGAGGAATCCTGCCTGCAATCCTGGAGAGCCACTGCCAGTCAGTGTTGACAGTGCCGGGTTAGGTGGGCCCAAGGATCTGACTTAGTATATGGCACCTTGCCCTCTTCCTATGGAGATTTCTGTGCAGTTGGGCCTGTGTGCTGGCCCATTCACACATGGAAGTCGCACTCCTAGATTCCAGGGTTTTAAGGTTCAAACTGGAAGAGATCCATGTATTTTTAAATGTCCTGATGCAACATGAGGCAAAGCAGCCGTGGCTTTCCCTGCCTATTCGTTCTCTAGCTGTGCTGTCCACCGCTCTCTGGTGCTTGCTTTGAGGTAGGCCTCGAGTCCTGATCACCTGGAGTTTGGGAAGGGGAGAAGTGGGTAGGAGACACCATGGTGGCCTCAGTTCTTGCACTGTCAGGGGATGTAAAGGTATGTTTTCTTCAGCTGTGAAAACCAGTAATTTAGCTGTTCTGCAGGCACCTGAGAGTCAGGAGGCACTGTACGATCCTCTGTGCGTTACTATTAAAAATACATCGGAGGAACCACATACGGGGTCTGCTCCACGTTGCTCCTCGTTCGTAAAGCATTAAAAACATAGTACAGTGTTTAGGTCGCTTGGATCACTGCCTCAGGTGGAACGAGACCACCGTAATTGGGAGTATAGTGTTGCCACAGGCCATTAGACATCTGTCGCTTGTAATTCCATCCAGAATGGAAGGTGGCTTCTGTTAAATAGTGCATTGCACCTTCCCCTCCTACTCCTGGTAAGCTTTTGTGCTTGTTAAAGAGACGACCAGTTCACTTGGCCAGTTCTTCCTGTGCTTGGTTCTTCAGAATTCAACTTCAGAGTTGCTTGAGTGCAGCGTCCTCATGTCCATAACCGACTAGAGTTTCCAAGGCTCTTGAGAAAGCTTCCTCAAAGTGTGTCGCAAGGGAATCCTCCTGGAAGAGGAGTCATCCTGTCCATGTGCGGCACATATGAGGGAAGCTTTGCTCTAGGGCCTGGTGCTGCTAAGTGTGTTCGAGACTGTGGCAGGCACTCATGCCCTGGAAAGGCTTTTGCTCCTGGTCTTTGGGGAGATCAGAGCCATCTGTCTGGCATGCAAGCTGAGCAGCATTCGGCTGGCTATTGCTGATACCACCTGAGAACTTGGGGAACGCTCTGCTTCAGTCTGCGAACAGAAGAAGCTTAAGTAAATCTTGTCGAGTTGGGAGGGAGAAAGCAGTTGAAGACTTTCAAATAAATTTTAGTATAATATGGAGCATTGTCTGTGTACGGGAATGAACTCCATACAGGACAATACAGGTAGGCCAGTTCAGAGATCACAGCTGTGGAAGCTTGGCTACAGCGTGCAATCTCAGTATGATTCAGGGCCTACCTACCTACCTGTCTATCTTGGTTGAGTGTAAAAGATCGCGAGGTCGGTCTGCATAGCCCAGACTTTCTAGCAGTGCACTGGCGGCTCATGTGTGACCAGGCCTGCGGTGAGTGTGGAGAAGCCTGCTGTGGCCATTGCTTGTGCAGGTGGAGTGCCGCTGGCAGTGACTTCCAGAGTCGGTTGCGCGTCTGCCATGAGACAGCCACCAAGACTTCATGGGTGCTGGATGGGAAGCTGGGTGCAGAGCACTGCTGCCACTCCGCCTGTACAGGACAAGGCCACGGTGGGATGGACTGGGCTGGGTCCCCGAGCATCTCTGTCCAGGAACACAGAGCCGGCAAGCCTTTACCCAGTCCATGTTGGCTTCATTAAGTATCATTGTAGTCATCTGTCAGGGAAGAAAGTGGGGTTTTTCTGCTGCCCTGCTTAAGTGGCATGGGGCAGCTGGCACGGGCTTTTCTGAAAGGGCCGGGGCAATGGTGTGAGGAAGCAACAGCACTGCTTCATGCATCGTAGGGGGTTTGTCCATCTATCCATCCATCCATCCATCCATCCATCCATCCCAGAACGGTCTGCTCAGACTGGCTCTGCTCTGCTCTGCACACTCTCCCTCAGGCAGAGAGGGCTCTCTCCCGTATCTGCCTGTTGATCCTGGGCCATCTGTAGCTATGCCACTGACCCCTAGCCCCTCCCTCCTTTTTCTGCCGCCCAGTGGCAGAGCATCTCTCAGTGGGGCAAAATGTGGGGCTGCCACTGGAGGCCTAAGGCGAGCCATTCCCCTCTCTCTTCATACCCTCTAATAGAACTTGTTCTTTATCTTCACCAAGTGGTAATTCCATTGTGGAAATGCAGCCCTGTTGTGATGCAGACACCGAGGAGTTCTTGTGGCGTGGTTGTGACGGGAGAGTGAGCAGAGAATCAGGGGTGACTTTTCCCCGCGTGCTTCTGCATCTCATGAGGCGGGGTTCCACCCTAGACAGCTTCATGCCTTTTGGGGTGGTCAGTCCTGGTACCACTCGCCATGTTGGTTGCGGAGGGGCAGGGAGACAACGTAGATCCCTCAACTCTAGCTTCTGTGTTTTCCCCTTTCTGAAGCGATGAACGAAGAAAAGATTTTGATGGAGGGAAGAACCACCAGTGATCCAGCCTATAGTAGGAAGTCATTGGGATCTACCTCAGTGGCATCTGTAGTCGCCTTTCCGAAACACTAATGTGCCCTGTCCCTTCCCGTGGCCTTCCCCTACACTTCTCTCTCCCAAACGCAAAGTGCCCGCTCTGCTTAGAAAGGCGCCTTGGCACCCGTCTTGGAGTGGCATCCAGGCGCCCATGCTGCCAGTGCCTGAGCAGGAAAGTGGACTGAAGGGATGTGGAGGAGGGCAGCGATGGGCTCCCGTTGAGTGCC